AAAACTTACAGTTATGGGTTTCAGTGGGTGATAGTCCCCAAATTCCAGTGGTACAGACTCCAACCGGCATGATGCAAACTCAGCCTTGTAGTTCCTGTTCCTGGAATGCCTGGTAAACAGCAAAACCCAGAAACCAATTAGTTGGAGATGCATACACACTAACAACTTCTTGCTGAGACTTCCTCATCGATGAGACAGTTTACAGTGGAACAGTATTTTTACCAAGACCAATAAGAAGTGGTAAATTAAAAAAAACATTTTTTTTTAAATCAGTTTGAAGGTATAAGGAGCTGCCGAGGCAAACAAGACCTGCGAGGACAGACGCCAGAACAAAGGGAAGCTCACTGAAGTGAAGCCAACTTTCTTGCCCAGCTATCTCTCACAGAGCATTTTGATTCTTGGCATGGGACAAGAGCCAGGCAGAGGGCAGCTGCTAGGGTGCAGAGTAGCCAAAGAAGCTTTAAGGAAAACTCAGAGGGCTGTAGAGATAAACTAGGGCTCAGGGCTGTGGAGACAGCCAGGGCTTGAAGGAAGAGATTCTGAAGAGAAGGCAGTGCAGAGAAGTGAGAGATTCGGTCCTGGTTTCCCCTCAAAGTATTCTCCAATTAAGCTGTGGAAGAGCAGGAGGAATAAGCCAAGTAGATGAAGAGCAGAGAGTTTTCATCAGTCTTGCGGAGGCTTAACAAGTGAAGGGATTAGTGAGAAGGAACATAAAAGGGGAGAGATCACCCACATTGAAGCATGGAGAGGAAAAAAGATGAAAAGCACAGAAGAGTGCATAAGAGACATGAAGAAAGGTCTAACACACATACGATCTGAATTCCAAAGAAGAGAGGAGGAACAGGCAGAGCAGTATTTGAAGAGATAATAGCTAAAAGTTTTCCCCAACTAAAGAAAGACACTGATTCGCAGATTCAAGAAATGCTTGTGCCCCAAGCAAGACCAGTACAAAAACAAAACAAAAAACAACCATACTTAGGGCCTTCATAGCAAAATGGCTGAAAACGAAAAAGAGGGGATTTCTTAAAAGGAATAAAGATATGTATTTTCAAAGGACAACAGTAAAGATTATTATCTCAGCACAGAAATGAGAGCCACAAGACAAAGGAATGATACCTTTAAAGTACTGTAGGAAAATAATTCCCAACCAAGAATTCTAGACCTAGTGAAACCACTCTGTGAACATTAGGGCAAAAGAAAGAAGTTTCCAGTCAAAGAAAAAGGAGAACAGCAGCAGCAGAACCACACCTTAATTTTTTTTTAAATGCTGAAAGTAGAAGGAAAATGATCCCAGCTGAAAGCAAAAAATATATGCTAACATGTATATATACATATATGTATGTGCATATATGTGTACATATGCATATATACTAGATATATACTAAAGAGCATACAAAAGATAAAGGTGTAGGTAAAACTAAATATCGACTACAAAAAACTTCTTACGGTGTTTAAAATATATGTAGAATTAAAATGCATGAGAACTAGGACATAAAAGGCAGGAGAGGTGCTACGATCTGAATGTGTCTCCCTAAAATTCACAGATTGAAATCCTAACCCACAAAAGGTATTAGTAGGTGGAGCCTTTGAGAGGTGCTTACATCTTGAGGGTACAGCCCTCATGAATGGGATTAGTACCCTTATAAAAGAGGCTCCAGAGAGCTCCCTAGCCCCTTCCACCATGTGAAGACACAGTGAGAAGGTGCTGGCTGTGAGCCAGGAAGAGTGCCTTCACCGGACCATGCTGCTGCCATGATCCTGGAGTTCCGGCCTCCAGAACTGTGAGAAATTAAATTTTGTTGTTGATAAGTAAACCAGTCTGGGGGACTTCCCTGGTGGTCCAGTGGATAAGACTCTGTGCTCCCAATGCAGGGGGCATAAGTTCGATCCCTGGTTGGGGAACTAAGATCCCACATGCCATACAGCACAACCAAAAAAAAAAAAAAAAAGGAAAACCAGTCTGTGGTATTTCATTACAGCAGCCCAAACGAATTCAGACAGAAAATTGGTACCCGGAGCGGAGTGCCAGTATAACAAATATGGAAGCAGCTTTGGAACTGGATAATGGGTAGAGGCTGGAAAAGTTCTGAAGGATGTGCTAGAAAAAGCCACTACCGTGAATGGACTGATGATCCAGTGATCATTGTGAGGGCTCAGAAAGAAGAGAGGAAAGCTGCAGAGAAAGCCTCAACCTTCTCAGAGAATACCTAAGTGGGGGTAAACAGAATGTTGGTAGAACCGCAGAAGGTAAAGGTCATTCTGATGAGGCCTCATACAGAAGGAGGAACACGCTTTTGGACAATGGAGGAAAGCAATCCTTGATATAAAGTAGCAAAGAGCCTGGCTGAATTAGTCCGTGTCCTGGTGTTTTGTGGAAGGCAGAACTTGTGAGCCATGAAATTTGGATATTTGGCTGAAGAAATTTCTAAACAAAGTGTTGAAGGTGCAGCTTGGCTTCTCTTGAATGCTTACAGTAAAATTCAAGAGGAGAGGAATGACTTAAAGACAAAATGGCTGACCAAATGGCAAACAGGCTTAAAAACCTGGAAAACTCAGTTTCAAAGAGCACAGGAAGCTGGCCCCTTTGTTTCCTTGGCCTCCAGATGCCTTGAATTCATCCCTTCCACGCCCCCCCATTCCCACCCCCATTCTCAGCTCCTTGACTTCATTAATATGTGTATGAACCCCAAATCTAACTGTGCCTTGCAATTAATCAGCTTTACTCAATAAACCCCACCTACTCAGACATCTAACACGGTACAAAAGAACTGAGAGCCCACGTAATTTCGCTTCCATCCCTTTCTAAATAAATTTCGCTTCGAGTGTAGGAAAGGAGAAAAGCTAGTTAACAATATAGACCGGCCTCTACTTGTTTTTTGTTTTTAAAGGAAAACCCCTACCACAATACACTGCCTAGTCCCTTTGGGTTACATTTACTAAATATATACTGTCTTCATCTTCCAAAAATATTTCAGTTGAATTCATTTATGAAATATTCTTCCAAACTCCTTTTAATATGCTACCAGCCAATCCTTCATTTATAAAACAAACAAAACCCCAAAGAATAAATTGGAAGTCTAGTCATCAACAGCCATAATGGAGTTTAAAAAATCAACTTATACTTTTCCTCCTTTCAGATCACTCTTAACTTTATCAATAGAATTTTGAAAAGTTAATTTAATAGAATGAGTAGAAATGTAATCTGACCTGAAATTCAACTGCAAATGTGTTGTTCATCGCCATAATAATTATTAACGAATCAACAGCTAAAAAAAGGATAGTATCAAAAGAGCAGTATGACTTGATACACAACAACCAAGGATCAGTTCTCATTTATTATGCGCTTATTATTGTTGGGGCCCACAGCGGGCCACCCCCAAATATGGCATATTGATTATCTTGAATTAAAGTTACTTAAGAAACTTAAGGAAGAGCTGATGTAGAGGGACACTCTGACCCTCCTCTCTGTCTCCCTGAAGGCAGGAAATAAGTCTCCCCTGTGAAAGGTGCCCACCTGCATCTGGAGGTAGAAGGACACCCTTGTTGTCAGAGATGGGGACTCAGGGCCAAGAAGCCTATATAAACGAACCTTGTTATTTCTTTAATACCACAAGACTGCTGTTTAGATTCTTCACTAATTAAGCACCCAAAGCCCAACTTTCTTTGTTCTGTCAATTCCTCACAAATTTAGTTTTTTTGTCTAAAAAGTATAAAAGCTGCCTGTTTCAGCCATTACTTAGGTCCTGTATCTATGAGACCTCCAGAACACACAAATTAAAATTTGTTTCTTTTTCTCCCATTAATTTACCTTGTGTCAATTTTATTATTGGTCCAGCCACAAGAACTCAAAGAGAGTAGGAGGGGGAATTTCCTCTCCCTGACACTATATACCAGGATACAGGACAAGCCCTTTACCTCTATTTCCTCATTTAATCAATCCTATGAGGTAGGTACTATGATTATGCTTATTTCTCAGATGGAGAAGCTGAGGCTGTTGGTAACTTGTGAGAGGTTAGCAAGTGATACAGACAGATGCAAACCGAGGCGGCCTGCCTCTAGGATTCAGTAGTTCTACAGATCATCTATAGGTCAACTTGAGAATTTGAAAAAGCAATTTTTTTTTTTTTAAGGACTGACCTTTGAAATGTTTTTTTTTTTTTTAAGTGTGAGGGGAGGGAATTCTTTGGGGGAAAAAATACTTGTTCTGGACAAACCTTTAAAAAACAAAAGGGAAGGAAACATTTACCCTTGCCGTAAGTCCATGTCAGGTTGCTATTTCGATTTTTCAACCATTTCTTCCATTATTTCCTCAAATTTGCTCTCAGTTCCCTAGTGTTTCCTATAGGTTGAGATGTTAAAAGCATTTTCTTCAATGCCTGGGTCTTTGGTAAGGCTAACAGTGACCTCTAGTGGGCATTTTCTCAAAAAGCCTTACTCTTCTTCCCGCGAACGTAGCTGGTAAGCTGGTAAAAAGACCCCCAACTCCCAGCAATGCGAAAGGGTGGTCTGGCTCCTTGGCAGCTGCCACAGAAAAAAGGCCAACATTTCATACCTCCACTCCTAGCTTGGTCTGGCCTCTGGCTACTCCAAGTGTGAGTCACAGATCACCAACAAGAGCATCACCTGGGGAGTACTGAAATACCCCTACAGAATCAGGGTCTGCATTTCTCCAAAATCCCCAGGTGACTGATATGCACATTAAAGGTTGACACTGCCCTATTTTTAAATTATTTACATTGGGTAACATACGTGTAGAAATCCTACTACCAGTTACCAAATTAATCTCCTTATACTGGAAATACCGAAATCCAATAACTGCTTTTTAATTCTCAAGTGACTTTTTTTATTTTTTGGATTTGCAAATACAGTTTATTTTACAGAAATTCAACATTATAAACAGCAGGCACCTCCCAGCCCCCCACCCCCCTCCCCCCAACCCGTACCACTGGGTCCAGACCATGCTATGCAGAGTGAGCAGTGATGCAGCCCTACTGCTTTGGAGGGAGATTCGAGAGCGATGGAACCTGCCTGCACCACGGCCTGCCTGCCCCACACACGCACGCGCCTGCCCGCCTCGCAGGCCACCAGAGTCTGTCTGGGCCCAGCCCGCGCTGGACCAGTTAAATGGATCCAGCACAGGTCTCTAATTCCTTCATGTCGTCGTCTTCCTCTTCCTTCTTCTTGGTGGGTTTTGATGGTAGGGATATAGAAGGAACATTTGGTAGAGGGACTGTTTCCGGTCCACTGATTTCCAGCAAATTCTTGTCTAGCTCCTCCTGTTCTAGTTCTTCTAATTCTGCCATGAGCTCATCCTCGTCAAACTCTTCTCCAAACCCTACAGATTTTGAAATAGCTGTTGAAATCTCTTCTGCAAGTTCCTGCTGGTCAGCAATGTCCTGCATTAACTCATCAACTTTATCGATGTCCATGTTGTCGTGGGCAGCCTTCATGGCTTTGGTGGCATAGCCCATGTTCTTGAGCACCTCGGTGTTCGTGTTAGCATTCTCCAGGGCCTCTCGCTGGAACTCGCTGGTTGACAGTGTGCCGTCGATCTGTGCCAGCTGCTTTTCATACCTCTTCTTGCGCTTCAGTGCCTGGAGGGCAGCGCGCTTGTTTTTGGTGCCGTGCTTCTTGGCGGCTGTCAGCTCCTGCTCGATCTTCTTCTCCAGGAATTCCTGTTTCTTACTTAGCATCTCCTCCGTGTCCCGAAGCCTCTGGATGGCCGCCTGGGGGGTCGGGCCGCCCTTGCCCTCAAGTGACTTTTTAATTACTAATGACATAATCTGGCCACACAGTTTTTTATCCCCCAATCACAATATACTCCCCCTCCCCAATAGAGTCTTAAAATGATGTAGAAATTCTGACTCCAAAGAATGGTATTTTTAACAGTGCTATGACCATAGGACTGAACAGGAAATGTAATCCACAGTGCACTGGACATCTCACAGGTGAGGTCAGTAATAACAAAAAGTGTGGGTGAGAAGAGGCATTCTGGGGAGACCCATGACAACACAGCAGGACTCAGGAACACTGCTACCCAGGAATCTCAGCCCAGGACCTAGACTGTAGGGCCATATGACAATAATGATTAAGATCAGAGGTTTGGGACTTCCCTGGTGGTTCAGTGGTTAAGAATCCGCTTGCCAATGCAGGGGACACGGGTTCGATCCCTGGTCTGGGAAGATCCCACATACCACAGAATAACTAAGCTTGTGCACCATAACTACTGAGCCTGTGCTCTAGAGCCCATGAGCCACAACTACTGAGCCCGTGCACTGCAACTACTGAAGCCCGCGTGCAGCAACAAAGACCCAACGCAGCCAAAAAAAAAAAAGATCACAGGTTTGAGTTCCAAACCTCAGTACTCCTTGCAGGCTATAAAGCTAAATGAACTGCTTCATCTTTCTGTCTCCACCTTCTTATCTGAAAAATGGGTTTTTTAGGAGATGAGATGTTGCACGTTCAGCACTTAGCACAGTGCCTGGCACAAGATAAAGGCTTAATAAATGTCAAATTTAATGACAGAAACACGTTTCTCCTCTGAGGGCCTCCTCAGTCTCCTCATTCATTCCATAAACATTACTCAGCACCTACTATCTGCCAAGCTCCATGCCAGGCTCTGGAGATACAATGATGGTTAAAACTCAGCCCCTTTAACTTAAGAAGCATCAAGTCTATGGGCAAACTGAAAGATGAACACATGCTACCACAGACAGAAGTGTTTAGAGCACAGTCAGACTAGGAACTGTGGAGACCCTAGATGCTAAACGGCTAACAGCACCTCTCTCTGTAAAGTATACCAAAGGTAAAAATGCACTGGGATTAAACAGCATCTTCCTGGATCTTCTGATTACAAAATTCCAGCCAGATAAGTGCATTGAAGCTATATGTTTTGGTATATAAGCCTTAGTGATTTCCTAAAAGGGGTTTTGCATGACTAGGTCAAAGAAAACTCAAGGCAGGTCATATAAGAACTCACTGGCATCCAATCCTGATTTAGCATACCGAGACTTTTGAAGGAAGACTCTTAAAGAGTTAGACATGTGAAGGGAACAAGAGAAAGACCGCTGTTTATCAAGCATAAAATCAGAAGTATGTATCTGATTATTTCTAAGGTCCAGGGCTGTATATTTTTTCATTTGCTCACTCACTCACTCATTCAATGTAAACCACTTTGCATCATTTGCAGAGAAAGATCAGAAAATAATCTCCCTTTCTCACGTGCCCAAATAATTCCACTACTACCATCACATCTTGCTCCGGTTCTTCACACACCCGTAGAAGCAGCTGGAGCCTGAAGCGCCAATCACTCCTAGCTACTCCAGCCACAAGAGGCCGACAGGCCCAGGCGCCTTGGAACGCGCCATTAGCTTCTTCTTGATGACCTCCTATTCATCCTCCAAAACCCAATTTAAGGCTCTTCCTCTCTCAAACCTTCCCCAAGCCGCCAGGTGTGCCTAATCCCCAATGCCTTCTTTGGATATCCTTCTATTCAGAAGCTTATCTGCTCCACTAAACTGTCAGCTCCTTGATGCCAAGGAGTACGTCTGAGGGTTGTGTATCGTGAATGCCCAGTGCAGGGCCCTGCACAGAGTAGGATGAATAGCAGCCATTTCACAGATGAGAAAAGCAAGTCTCCTCTAGATGAGCCCAGTCATTCAGAAAACTGCCAGGTCTTCCGAGTCGTCCAGACCAGAGCTGAGCCCACCATTTTCTGCAGCCAGCTCCCCCAGAACCCGCGCCAACTTCTGGGAAAGCGGAGGCCGGGGAACTTGAGCTTTTTTTAGGGAATGAATGGAGAGGGTGGCGTGGAAGGCGCGGGGAGAGGTAGCGGAGGAGGGGACCAAGATCCCACCCGTCCGGCTTCAGGGAGGTCCTCTGAACCCGGGTAGCGGCCGGGGATCTGTGGTCAAGACCACCAGGAGATGGGGTGGGAGACTCCACCAAACCCAACAGAAAGCAGTTCACACACTCCCTCGCAGAGACACACACCGAGACAGAGATAGAATCCCAGAAACAACGAAGGACACCACCTCCCTTAAGCCCAGCCGCCGCTTCCTTCTTACCAAGGAAAGACCGCCATCTTCCCAGTCACATGACCGCTACTTCTGGCACCGCCAGCCCAATTCGCCCTTCCAGACCACGCCCCTCCAGGGGGCCATGTTTGTAAGGGGCGGACGCCCCTCCCCGCAGGGTCAGGGCCGCCATGTTTGTGAGGGGCGGGGCGCCCTCCCGCAAGGCACGGGCCTTGCCGCTCGGGCGGCCATGATTAAGAAGGGCACCGCAGGCCTTGTGGCTGCTGGTGCCGCAGCGCAGACATGATGAGCTGGCACTTGCGGCAGGTGGCCGCCTGGCCAGCCGGCGCCCTCTGGAGGCGGTGAAGAATCCAGACACCTGCGGAGAGAAGACGCTAACCGCGGCTGGGGTGGGAACAGCGTCCAGCCTGCGCGTGCTTTTGCGGCTAATTAGCAGTTTGGCTGGGTAAGCCACGCCCCCTCTGCAAGACACTGCGCCCACCTCCGTGCACCGGGGAATTTAGGCACTTACCGTACCCACCTCCCAGGACTAACAACCTGGGTCTCTAAGGGCTGCCGTAGATCCAAATGGGACAGCTTTCGACTGGAACTAAACTAACTGGAGAAATCGGGGTCAGCATTTCACCCCACTTGGCGAAGCCGTACGTTTCTATGAAGGTGGATGTCCGTTTCCACTACAGAACTTCCGTGCTCTAGTCTAGTCTAGTTTTCTCTGATCAAAAAAAAAAAAATCACAGGATATTTTACTAAATGGTTGCCATAGTAAGCATGTGTCACGCCCTGTGCTGAGCACTTTGCGTTCACTCTTCATTTACTCCCCACTGCAAACCTCTGAAATTACGGCAACCGGGATTTGACCTGACTCCAGACCTGACTACTAGTTTAACAGGGGAGATCTAACGGGGGTGACTGTTGGTTAACAGTTGGTTAATCACAAGGCATCTGATCCTCACTTTTTTCCCTTTTTCTTTGAAGTGTCTTTTCTGACAGGAGGAGGTCAGAAAACCACATTCTCAAAAATCTCCTCAGGAAAAGGCAGTAGAACATACCCTAACCCTCTAACGGAATACGCAGTTTATTTAGCACGCTGAGTCCTAGTTTCTTCAGCTGTGAAGTTAGGATAATTCTGACCGAGGTGAAGGGAGATGATTATCAAATGCCCGGCAAATGGTCAGCACTCAGTTGAAGCAGTACATCACTCACTTGGCAGGCTGAAAAATCATATTGTAACTTCTATGACCTTTCTGATTTCAGAGCTTTTCTTTCCAGGGCCACAGACGATGCAGTGTATCATAAAGCAGGGCTTCTCCCGTTTGAATTGCACAGACTCACCCGGGGATCTTAAAGGCAGGTTCTGATTCAGCTCTGGGGCAGGGCCTGGGCTTCCGCATTTCTAACAAGTCCCTGGGTGGCACTGCTGCTGGTCTCTGGATGCAGAAGGGGCTGTGATCGTTGTGGGTGGTGAAGGTGGGGACGGGCATAGAACACAAGCAGCGGCAGAGCAACAGCGTGCGCTCCTCAGGACAGTCAGGCACACCCACTGATTCTGAACTCTTTAATAATGTCAGGTGTGTTACACAGATAATGGAGGTAATCCTGAAACAGGCTGTTGTAAGTTATGTAAAGTGTGAAAGGGGAGTCTTCCCACCATAGGCTGAGAAGCAAAACCACGCTTCTGGTGGCAACTTTGTCAACCACCTCAAGAAACTGCGTTGAAAGCCATAGAGAAACTGACCAAAAGGGAACAGATTAAATAAGTGAAAAGGTAATATTTTACTGTGAAGTATAATTTTGGTTAGACATGGTATTTGTTCCCAGAGCTGTCCTTTAGAACCTAACCGATGTGACTCCACTGCACCATACCCCAATCGGATTTGCTGCATTCCATGACTGAAAGTCTTTGTTTTTTTAAATTTTTATAACCTACATGTATGCCCACTACGGTCTGTTACAGATAGCATTCCAACTTCACTTGCTTATTTTTTTTTATAACTATTACTCTTCATTTGGGGGTAGGAGGGGGATTGTGTGTGGTTGTTCATGGGGCAGTGACACCTGACAGAAAAAAAGATCTTCATCTCCAGAATGGGTCCTTGTTTTCAGCTCAGTATGAGTAATAAAGAGTTCCCAGTCAATGTACATAATAAACAAGAGCAAAGGGTGGCCACTGGAAAAGGGAGAGGCTGTTCTCACACTGCCTTGTAGATTATCAAATGTAGTATCTCCGCGATAAGAGGTAAAAATGAGGACCATTGGACTATGCTCACGTTAGATGACCAGGCAGCAGCAGTGGTTGGATTCTTAACGCTGTGCAAGTTAGCAGCTTGGTGTGAGCTTCAACCTGAGCATTCTCTCCCATTCGATCCAGCTAAGACATTTCCAGCTCCAGTGAACTTTTGCCCTCTGAAAAGTCCAACTCATGCAAAATCAAATGCCAGGGGGCTAATGTTACAGGTTACATATTAAATAGTGGGATATACCTTTCATGGGTCTTGTAATTGTAAAAAATTATCATATTACAATATTAAAGTCTTGGCCACATACTTTTCAAAAGTCCTTTCTTTGGTAAATAAAAAATCAAATGAGATTTCTTTTAAGATGAAAAGTTTATTTTGCCTTTTGCCTAGAAGCAAAACTAGTGAAAATTAAAATTAAAGTATAAAAATAAATATAATTTACATTCATGGACATTCCACTCAAAGAAAAAATAACAAAAATAATATATATAAATAAAAATCCATTAAAAGCACAAAACAATGTCTGGCACTTTTATGAGAAAAAGCTGTGAACATTAAAAAAATTTATAAAACACACAAGCTTTTATCCTTAAAAAAAACACTCAAGTTTTGCATCCTTAATCTAAAACTAGTTTTATCTCTGAAACATACTATTTGTTGTAGCCAATTTGCATTACTGTACACAAAACTTTTAGCATCTATCTTTCATACTGGAAAGACCCACAAGATCTGAGTAAGCTGTATCCTGAGTTTTCAGAATGATAAAGCACAATTTATCATATTAAGATAATTTTGATACACTTTGCCCACAAATATAAATTGGTAACTCAGACATTTTTGACTGTGTTCTATTTCTAATTTTCTGATTCACTCATTAAATAAATGATACATCTCAATAAAGAAAATCAAGTTTAC